CTATTTTTCCCTTAGTGGGAGGTCACTTCTGTGGTGTCATCGATTTTGTGACCGTTTCTGTACGTCATACACTCTGCTACTTGGTTTCACTGCTTCCCCCATCTAGAACTATAATTAGTGTGACCAAAATTCTCCTGTAAGAATCTCCAGCAATGCTTGTTAATCTTTTTTTCAGACTGAGAGAGCTATGGATCCTATATCTCAAAAAATGTCCATACACTCAAAACTCAGTATCTTTTGATTCTATTTCACCAAGTCCAAAAGGAGACAAAATTAATCTAACACTAATTAAGCTGGAGAGAAGTGTCCTTTGAGGGGAGATGTGATGGCGGGGAGCGCGAGGAGGGCTTCTGCGATGCTAAGTCAATATTCATTTATTGCTCTTGGTCATCTTAGTACCGTTTACTCTAGTGTGCTCCCCTTTGAGAAGATTCATTGATCTATATCATTATAATTTTGCACTTCTCTGTATGTTTGTTTTTAATATCCCCTGTGGTGGAAAAGGTTGGTAATTACTGTCACAGTTGAAGACTTTTCAGGCCTTTGTTAAAAACTGACTAGGGCAGAAAGTGTTCTTCTCTTGGAGTATCTGTTAAGATGCAGAAACAGGAATAACCGGGGCGCGGGAGGAGAGCCATGGTGGTTGGGGGTGGGGAGGAGGGCATCATCCCCCTGCAGTCATTATTATTTACCCAGTGCACATAAATAACAATCTTTCAGTATTCTTGTGTGTGGACAGTTTATACTTCTTCCTGATTTAATACAGTGTCAGTAACATCATCAGTAGAAAAACCTCTGATGCCTCTCGACAATGACCAAGAAAAAAATCTGCTCCATAAAGTCTTCCTACAAAGTCTTACCCTGCTTGTCTTGTATTTCTCTCCACTTACCTCCTCATCCTGTGATTATTCTGATTGTGAGATCATGCTATACCCTCCCAGAACCGACCAATGGTGGGTTTTACCTACATGGGAGGAGGCGGTGCTATGAGGCCACGACAGAACTTCTCAATCACAGACGACTCCCAGAATACACACGTGAGACATCAGTCAGTGTCAGGTCAGAGCTGCAGGACTGGGGTATTGGCCCATCCATCTGATACCCAGACTTACTACCCCCACATTTCCAAGAACAGACATCTGGGGTTAGGGAAACAGTCAATTAAGAGTAAAGGAATAATTACAAAGACAGAGTCTTCCTAAAATCTCTTCCTCTTCAATCTCAAGTCCACAATCAAAGCTAGGTTCCCACTCTCACTGGCGGTGCGCATTCTATGTCTCCTGGACTGGGTTCTCCACCCGGCCTCAGTCTGATGTACAGACTGAACACACACCCAAGTCCAAACCTGTCGGCCTTCAGAGTGGAGGTAATCTAGTTATCTCAAATACGAGGGTCATCAATCAAAGTTGCCCAAAACCTCATGGGAAGAGAGAACAGAATAACTGTAATCAAATATTTATTAAACACATTTATTGAGTGTCTAATATTCCCAAGGCAACTGTCTAGGCACGAGGGAGTTTATATTTATTGTGCTTACATTCACCTGAGTAAGAAAAATGAGTCATATTTTCTGTTGTTCCAGAGGGCAGAACCAATAGGTAGCCTCAATGCAACTCTTGGCTACTTAGGAAGAAATACGAGAATTTTTATTTTCTTCTTCTTGTTGCTTCCAACTCACTAATAAATATTCAAATCATCATATGTTGTTTTCACAATGAACAAGAACATTTAGGGCTATTTTATTTAAAAAAAAAAAAAACTGATAAACAGAGAGGCGACTTTCAAAGTTGGAACAAAGACAAACATTCCTGAAAGACGTAGAGGGCTGAATACGTTCGGACCAGACTGGTCCCAGTCAGAGGATCAGACGTAAGGTCAGCGCTGAATTCTGCCTCAGCACTGTCCCTCTGCAAACCCTGCTCCCCTGTCGCTGTCTACATCAGTCTCCCTTCCTCCCGTTCCCAATGTGTAAACACCTAATTTTCTCTTCAGCTGGAGCTGCTTCTTACATATTCATGCTTTACTGCATAATAATAAGGTATTACATTGTAGATTAGGACGTTAAATAAATAAAAAATAAGAACAAGCCAAGCAGTCGTCCACAAACCATACCTGCCTTTTTAATAAAAGCTCATGCATATTTTTTCCACTTCCACTGTAAAGCCTCTCTGCTAGAAATACAATTAATAGGAATCATGTCTGGTCACCTATAACCAATTACTCTCACTGGTTAGAGTTCGGATTTAATGAGCTTTATTCCAAGGACGTATTCCCACAGGAAACAGTTTCACTCTTCTCCCTGTTTGGAACTCCACCGTTACCCAGGCCAGCCACATCCCTAAGTATCAGACATGCATCACTGCAAACATGTTATTACAACCAGAAAATCCACAGAAAGCACATTTTCTTATTGAACATCTTCATATATGGACAAATGGTTGTTAGATAAGTCACATAAGTCTTCTTGGAAGATTTCCGTAAGATTGCCTATAAAATGTGTTAAGAAATATTGAAACGATCATTTCAAAATCTCGGCAAAAATAATGGTGCTCATTCCCAAATCTGGCAATGCGTATCGCTTTCCAGTGTGAGTAAAAGCGTTGTACGTTATCTTTCTCATTAGAGTCCAGCCCAATCCAATGAAAGTCATCAGTACAGGAATCTATGTTTTCTCACAGGCATTCTAGATGGTTCTCATGATCGAGGAAGAGTTGGAAAGGGCTGTGTTAATATTTTTCACAGCTCTGGTTCATAGAAGTATGTTCATGAGCTGTACACCCCAACTGAGAAATAGTTCTCAGTCCCAGACTGTCTGCCAGCAAGCAGGTTACAGGCATCAACGGCACCCAGCTCATAACCTTGCCCGCATGGTCATTATGATCCTCTCTGAACTACCTGGTTCGAATACTTTATATAACACACACTTAAGTATTTTTTCCACATACTGTCCATGTCAAGTCTTAGAGAATACAGTCAGAGGAATCCACCAAGTTTAAAAATATAGAAGCACAAAAATGTTAAGAATTTAAATTATTTCCTAGGCTGTCACTGTTGCCATAATCTTTGATAATGCATCCAGACCCTAGGCGTTAGCACACCCAGTCTCACAGAAGACACGCCTTCCTCCTATGCGCAGTGAGCTTTCAAACATCGGAGCCACCATCAGAAACCTGAAGTAAAAATTCTGGCGCCATAAAGATGTATTTTACATCATTTCCAAGTGCATGCACTTAATTCACACCTACGG